TGTTTCAATTCAGGATTCTTCCATATCTCCTGGCTAATATGATTTAAGAACTGTAATTCTGAGTCTAATACAGTATTAACAAGTGTAAAGAACTTGCTTTGCATTGTGTGTATATATTATTTCCTGAATTAAAACGATGATCTTGAGTCTTTCTACCGGTAATTTAGCCTGAGTTCTTAGCCTGAACCGCACGTCTTCGACGAGGCGTTGCTATCACCTTTGTCTGTCATAAATATGTGTACGATAGTATTGATCGTCGGCTCACATCTGTTATCGCATCTGGCGAAATACCGCTGATACAGAATTGAAAGCAAACTTTCTGCGTATCAGTGAAGTGATTCACAAAATTAAGAACTGACAGACAAAGTAAACAAATGTCTTGTGTTGCACTCGCTAAGTCTTCCAGCACCGATGGGCGAAAAATCAAGCTCAGGCGCGAAGGCAAGGCATATAGAAAGCAGGCAATTTCGTATTTCAGAGGAGAGTAAAAGGAATTTCGTATATTTTTATGCGAATTCGAAAGGCTAGGAAGAAAAGATGGGACAGAATAAAATTAAAAATAAATGGCCCAAAGGTAATGGAAGAAAGAAAATTAAATAAATAAATAATAAAAAAAAGGGGGAAAGGAAAAGAAGTAAGAGAATTTTCCTTTAAAAATAAATAAATAAATACGAAAGGTTTCAGATTTTAAAATTACGTCCAAAGGAGCGTTTTTTTTTTTTTTTTAAACGTTTGTGTGTTACCTTTTTTTATTAAATATTATGTTCTTTGCACTTGAACCATAAAATTCAGTTCAATAGCAATGTCGCAAAATAATTTTAAAATGATCGTATCTTTAGAATTTCCGATACACAGTTCCGCGGCCTAGAGATAAAAAGGTTCCTCTCCCCCCCCCGTTAGAGTGGTTCCAGCTCGCTTTTAAATCGTTGAGTTTGTTACTAAAAAATTCGTTAAAGTTTTACAAAATATGAAATCAACAATAGAACAAATTCCAAATTTCAAATTTGGTCTTCCACATGCTCATATTCGTAGGAGGATTACGTCAGTCAAAATTCGATGGCTCTATGTAGCGTTGTTTTATCACAATGCGAAAAATATATATGTACATTTATGCAGTGTTGTTACCAAATATTATCGACCTGTATTATATTTAAGGAAATTTAATAATGAAGACTCTGCATCTCAGCATGAATGTATGTATGTGTGGGGAATTGTTCTGTTTTACCCCAACAGAAGGCAGCACTATCCTGAATTTCATTTCAAATTTCATTTCGCCATGGCAAAAGTACATTCTGGGAGTAAAGAGAACGTTCTTTTTCTGGACAATTCTATGAGATCAGCACGTGATCTAGTTTCTGTAAGAACAAGCGCAATATAATAATTAAAATTATGTTGTCGTTAGTGAATTTATGGCTTAGCATTCTTCGTTACAAAAGAACCTCATGCAACTGATTTGATTATGAAAATATGTGAAAGTGCAGGCAACATATTGTTGCGTTCTACGGGTTCAAAGATTTAGAGTAATTGACGATAACACTTGGAAGAATCAAATTATAATTTATTCGCCAGTATTACAGAGGATATTTCCAAAGACACCTCTACAGTCGTCGAAAAACTACGATAAAAACTCTGAAAAAAATCAGCAACACAGCCTTCAGACTATAACGGTAAAGATAGCTTGATGGCAAAGTACTAAAGTTCAGCTGCCGACTTGGTCTTTCACTCTCAAACTAATTTCTGAACTCAAGACACTACTCCACTATTGAATTGAAGATACCGCTAGATATTCTCTACTCCGCGTGCAGGCAGGGTATATATAGCTTTTGACCTGCCTTCGAGAACATTCTCGGGAAAACCAGTAGGAATTCGTTCTAGAATTTTCTTGTTCCGTCTGTGGCATATCACCAATTTTCTCGCTGATTTCTCGCGAAATCTGACAACCCTGCCTTTTCGTGCCACGTTCTGGCAACCCTAAACCCGCTTTACAGGAAATCTATCTTACCGCAGATCGGTATTTCGCAACAATACATTTCTGGCATTGTGAAAAACAACGGTACTTAATGCTATCCAGTTCTGTATAACGTAGTCCTCCACCTGAATATGGGCACCACGAAGCCCGAATTTTAAATTTCTTTTATTGTCTACTTTATATTTTGTAAAACTGTAACTAACTTTTGATTAACAAACTTAAAGATTTCAAAGCGAGCAGTGGCAACACAGTACGAAATAAAACATTTTTATCTCCAACGCGCGAGACAGTTTATTAAAAATTCTACTGATATGCTATTTTTAAATATTTTCATTTGCTATCAAAACGTGTATGTGTATGTAAATGGGGGGGAACCGCTTTTCTGGAAGTAATATAAAATCGGAAAGCTTTCAGATTATTTTTGATGTTTTAATTTAGATATTTATTAATCTAATCTAAATGGTGACAGTAGAACTTTGCCGAACTTCATGCGAAATTTATATGAGGGCAGTTTTGGCGGAACCTTGAATTCCCTTCCCTGAGGGGAGGAAAGTGAGAGACGCTTGAGTTTCCCTTATGGAACTTAAGAGTCTCTTGCTTTCTTTTCCTTACTGCAAGTAAACTTTTGGGCACTACAACTAAATTGGCGATTGATGCTCACAAAAGGTGACCTAATGGCTTCTCCTCTCTCTTTATTTCATTATTGTAATCTTCGTATTTGTTATTGGACTATCAATTATCTGTTTGGTATAATTCGACAAATTTGCATGCAATTAATTGTAAATGAAAATTTTGTATAACTTTGCCATGGGATGGAAAGTTACAATGAAGTATGCTACAGAATTTTTATCTGCCAATAAAATGGCCTATTACACAGTACACCTATGCTATATTTACACCGTCCGCTCGTCCGGCCATCCATCCAATAACATCCATCCATCCATCCATCCATTCATATCCATCCATCCATCCATTCATATCCATCCATTCACATCCATCCATTCATATCCATCCATTCATATCCATCCATCCATTCATATCCATCCATTCATATCCATCCATTCATATCCATCCATTCATATCCATCCATCCATCCATCCATCCATCCATTCATATCCATCCATTCATATCCATCCATTCATATCCATCGATTCATATCCATTCCATCCATTCATATCCATCCATTCATATCCATTCCATCCATTCATATCCATCCATTCATATCTATTCCATCCATCCATTCCTATCCATCCATTCATATCCATCCATCCATCCATTCATATCCATTCCATCGATTCACATCCATCCATCCATCCATCCATTCATATCCATCCATTCATATCCATCCATTCACATCCATCCATTCATATCCATCCATCCATCCACTCATCCGTCCGTTCGCGTAATGATTTAAGAATGAATAAGAGGATGCACATTTCTCTTCTTCAGAATTGTTACAGGCCTACAATCCAAACTGCGTAGGCGCAAAAAAGGCATGCAATGGACATCGCATAATGTATCCAAGGATTATAATCAACAACAACTAATAATCAAGAGAAGGAATTTATTTAGGTTATTGGTTTTTAAGGATACTGCATCGTACGGACACCTGCATAGAGTCGAAACCGATTTGTGAGCTATCTTGTCGAACCTATACTGGTAAAAAGGTTTGTTTGTTCTATTCAGTGTTGGTCCTGGAATGCAGTTCCAGAAGATTCTGTTTAACTTTTGGTTTGATTTATTCGATTATGGGAAATCACACGAGCACTATCAACGAATTAATAAAAGAATTGCTTACATAATTCATCATTCTGAAATTTGCGTATGAATAAAATCTCTTTTCTTTGTACTGAGTAAAAGAAATCCCTATTTTAAGAGCAGAAAAATAATAAGGCGTAAGGGGAGGAATGTTTCCTTTGAAGACTTTCTAAGGAAAACTAACTTGTACCCACGTTACACTCGGAGATAACCACGAAAACTTATAAGTAACCAGCCCGTTCGCCTAGAACCGAATTCAGGTCGAACTACTAGTATTCAGCGACTCTCTCTCTCGATAGCTGGTGGGCATCTGTTAGATCTTCGCAGTAATAATGCTGCAAATTTACTCTTGTTACTCCCATTCGGTTGCTCATTATCATACTAAATAAAAGATATTGTGTATTATCTTAGGATAAAAAAGACAAATATCTAAATATATTTAAAGTAAGGCGCATATTCATACATGCTTAAAAATTTTTAAAAATTAAATATTTTTAATATTATATATTAAAATAATAACATTTCTGAATATTATGTTTTTTAAAATTCCTTCATGTTTTAAATAAGCCTTTATGTGCATTGATTTATATATTTTGGACTAGAGTTGCTATTAATTTACGTTAAGCTTAGAAAGAATAAAAGTGTGCCGCCCAACCTGTATAGTGGCTAGTGTCGCTGACTGCCATGCCGACAGGCCCGGGTTCGAATCCCGGCAAAGAAATGGATGTTTGTAAATGTATAGTGTCATGGCGGCACTCTAAATATCCGGCGAGCCGAAAGTCCTCTCATGGGGTTGTGGGTTCAGCTCCGTCCCCATCAAAATTGGGAATTATGGCCACATGCAAGTCCGATGCCTGGAAATTGCCCCCATCAAATTTGGGGACGGAACTGAGCTAAATCGCACTGTCACCTGTAAGGTGCTCAAGACTGTTGCCAACGGCAGGCGTAATCCTGCGCTCCTTGTCACGAGGAATTTCGTGAGCTTGGGCTGATGTTACTGTCAGACAAGACAGCACAAGTAACAACAACAGAATAAAAGCGTAATCTATTTAAAAGTAGTACAAATCGTGTCGTTTATCAACGAATTGAAAAAAAGAATTCATGACATAATGCTAGAATGTTGACAAGAAATAGATAAATCACATTGAAATTTGCGTGTCAATGAAATCTCTTTTCTTTGTACTACTATTCTAAAAGTAGAACAGTTTATCTAAGAGATAATTGAGCTCATGACCTTATTTTTAAACCTTACTCCGCATTTTGAAAACATACGTCTTAGTGGAGGAAAAGTTTTAAACCCGAATTCCAGGACCAAGAATGGCATATTTGGTAGGAAAGATAATAGCAGAAAATGCTTATGTCCTATGGAAATTGAGTAAAGAAATATGGCAGAATCCAGAATTGAGTTTTGAGGAAACTTTTGCTCATGATCTACTAACACAAACTTTGCAAGAATATGGATTTGTTGTTAAGAAGAATTATTTTCTACCAACAGCATTTCGAGCAGAATTTGACAGTGGTCGAGGTAAGCAAATTTCGTATTACCCTCAGTTCTTAACTGCTCCGATATTTCTTAGTTTTTGGGATAAATCACAATTCTAGTCGCAGCGTACCGTAGGCCTAAGTAAGAAGGCTCAGACACTTCTTTTACATTACTGAACAACAAGTTCAGTTGAAATTTGATCTTGAAAATTTTATTTTTTGCAATAATATTATATTACAAATCGCTTATCAAATTTTAGTTTATCTCTTTACATTTTATTTAATTTTAATTATTTAATTATTTTAATCCTTAATTTTTTTATTTATTTTAATAAATAATATTGGTACTTTTCCGTTCGCAAATCTCTCCAAGTAGACTAACACAGAGTATACATATAAAAAGTGTTGACAAATGTTAGTTTTAAGAATTTTTTATTTTGAAGGTATAAATATTTTAATATAGTATAAAATTTTGTAAAAAAGCTAATAAATAAAGACAATAAATTGGTAAAAGGACATTAATTTAAGAATTTACTATGCTTTCATCGTACAACATCCTGATTCGCCGGTTCATATTACGTGACCCCAAGTGATATCATCTCACGTAAACTACGCACAAAAATCTAATTCTCTCAGTAATTATCTAGTCGTACATTAATTTCTAGTTAAATCTTAATTTGGAATACAAGTTTAAATGCAAGAATTATTTCAATTCGTACGAATAGCTTACTCAGAAATTATGTAAAACCGCAGTGCTTTACCGCTAGTGCATTCTCATTAGATTTGTTGAATTTAACCTTTGGCTTTGCCTTTTCTATGTTTTCGCCTTCGGGTGAGCGGTGTGATTGCATCCTAATCGAATGGCGTTAGGACATAAACTGAACTATCTGGTAAAAATTCTATGTAATTGTATGCCAGCATTGAAAGAAACAATCAATCTGATAAGAAATAGCTGCGACTTGCTTTGAAAATAAGGCGTAAAAGGTTACCACCGAGGATATTCTGTTTGGCATCAGTTGTACCATTATTGGCGACTTTGTCGCCTGCGCCGGCAAAACGGAAAAGTACCATTCATTTTCATTTAATTAAATAATAATTGAAATTATTAATTACTAATATTAATTAAATAATTATTAGTTAATTTGATAATAATTAACTATTTAATTTTTAAATCATTAATGATTTTAATAGTTATTTTATTTATTTATTTACTTTTGTTCCTCTTTGCTGACGGTCTTCTATAGGACTCTAGCACTTCTAATTTTAGAAATTAAGCCCTGATTACCCTACCTGTTATCAACATTATCATGTTCATAGCTTTATAATGGAATGTGAAATAGTACGCAACATTCGACAAATATTGTACAAGATTCATAACAGAGGTTAATTCATAACGGTTTTCGAAATAGCTGTGTAATAACATTAAGAAACAGAGTAACACATTTAATATCTAAGACAGAGGTGACAGAATTAGTTTTTCGTTGTGTTTGCAAACTGCTACTGTATTCTGTTTTCTAGAACACAGTAAATGCTTTCCGAGTAATTTGGTTGAGATACACTGAACAATTAGCCATCGTAAAGCGTTACCATTAAATCTTCTGATGAGTACAGAATATCTAGCATCGTTATAAGAAATTGGTTGTTGTTTCGCAGCAGATTGCGTCAAAATACAGATTTGACCTTATACACAAACATTCATTGCAACAATACAGCTGCTATTAGAAATGGTATCAATATTATGTTAGAATGATGTGTATAATATTACATCCCTTCAGCTTAAGAGTGTCCCTGTTCTGGAAACCAAGGCAGTGTGAGATATAGATACTGTTACGCTTTTCTTTTCTGCTTCTGATTCTTCTGACACCAGTTGTTACGTTATTTTCTTCCTTCACGTTCGTACGGGGTTCGTAGATTTGGAGTGAATAACGACGACACTTTATGAAGTATCGAAACACACTTTATTTGCCAGTATTGTCAGGACAGCTCCAAAACACGTTTTACAGTCGTCGAAGATCTACTATAAACATGCTGACACGATCAGCGACGCAGCCTTCAGGTTATGAGGCTATCACGGTGGAGACAGCTTCCTGCAAAGCAGCCGACTCTGCTTTCCGGAGTACAGCTCACGACTCTGCTTGGTTGTTCTCGGAACTCCACGTACTCTCGAGACTCTCCACGCTACAACTTGCGATGCACCCGATGACACACGAACACAGTTCCTGACTCTTCGGTTCAGTCTTTCCCGGAGCTCAACACGCTCTCTCGATGATGCACTAACCGCGATACACTAACAGACTCCTTCCGTGGACTTGACGACCCACTCGGCACTCGCGGCCCGGCTGTCAACTCGATCGACTCCGCAGGGATTGACTCGCTAGACGAGACACACTCATGCTCGATGAGAGACACACTTCCTCTCGATGAAGCACACTCTTCTTGACTGCGGACCAGCAGGGTTTATATAGCTTTCGGCTTGTGTTTGGGAACATTCTGGACTAAACCGGTAAGAATTTGTTCCAGAAGGTTCTCCAACCATCCATGGTATATCGCCAATTTTGTCGCCAAATGTTGCCAAAGGGGCGATTTTTCGCCAAATGTTACTACCCTGCCTTCTCTTGCCACTATATGGCAACCCTAAAACTGCTTTGCGGGGAAGCCATCTCACCTCGCTTTTACATTTCGTAACAATACTTTTGTGGTCATGCCATTTATAATACTGTTGAAAACTATTTTGGTAGTTACAGCACTTGAATCCTTTTTATTTATTTTTAGATGGGTCTACTGTTGCTGTTGTATGCGAATATGATGCCCTTCCGGGCATCGGACATGCATGTGGCCATAACCTTATAGCTGAGATTGGTGTGGCAGTTGGGATTGCTGTCAAATTTTCTATGGAAAGAGATTCATCAGTATGTGGAAAGGCAAGTCAAATTAAATTTATACCAATGTATATAATACCGAGGTTAAGAACATTTGAAATATACAAGAAATTATACTGTATTGAATACTAAATGCTTACACTGTTGCAATACATTAACGTATTTGTCAGTGCCTGAGTTTGTAGGATTTCATCTTAATTAACCCAGTTATATTATTGTAGACTTGTATATCCCACTTCTGATAATTTGTGGGTGCTACTTTGCTAGACGGTTGCACGGATTTTGGCGATTTTTTTTGGCGAGCGATACGACTTATGGTAACCTCATTGCTAGATAAGTTATTTATGGTAACCCATACTTTGTTGTCATTTTATTTAAAAAAAATGCGTTTTATTATGTATAAATTCCGTGTTTTAAATATTATTTATGACTTCTAAATAATAAAAATGAATTTAATTTTGCATTTTTATTTTAAATAAAAATTTTATTGTTTATGATATTTTATGGAATTTTATGTTGTGAATGATGTAATGAATGACGTCACATTATTTTAAAAGTAATTGGTTTTAATATCTATAAATTTAATCTAATGTTTTAAACATTATTTATGGCTGTTAAATATTAAAATACAATTTAATTTTGCATTTTTAAGTATGATTTTATTATGAATGATTATTTAAATAATTTTAATTCTATGCGTGATGTAATCAGATCCCTGATTGGTTACTGAATATTTGTGCATTACCGCGCCATTTTAAAATTTTATTATTCATCTCTTCGAATTCCTCAGATTTCAAAGCGAATGGATGTGTTCGTTTTGAAGATGAATGTAGTTACTAGTAATTACCAAGAATTATTGTTATCGGCATAAAAAATTGCCGTTTGAGACCTTATTTTGGCCAACCTGGATTACCTAATCAAAGATTTATTTATTGTTACAAGGGTCAGAGGAAATTTATTAAAAATTTTTGGAGGAAAACTCGCTAATTGCTTCTTCAATGAAGTGCGAGAGATGTGGATAATAGATGAAGATCGTTTTTTTTTCTGGTACTTATCAATATACGTAAGGTAAAATACTTTAAAAAAATGTAAGTACATATTTTTCTTTTACTTTATTATTGTATACTTCAATTTTTATTAAAAAATTAATACACTGTTTTCAAAAATTCCTGAGATATTTATTGCCACATTTGTTTTAATGTTAAATAATTATATTCTATAAAACTTATTTTAATTTATTTAATTTTAATTCTTTTAAACGTTGGTATGATGTTTTTAATTCAATATTCAATTTAAGTAATTTTTATTCCAATTAAATGTTGGCGCAATGTTTTTATAGCGGTGTTTTTATTCTGTTATATGAAAGTAATAATTTAACCTTACTTTAGCATTTTATACTCTTAGTAAATGTATTTATTTACATTTGCCAGCCATCTAACAAACACACACACACACACACACACACACACAAAAAAAAAAAAAAAAAAAAAAAAAAAAAAAACGTTTTCAACAAAAAATTAATCCATTATTTTTAACGATATTTATCCTTTTAAAGTTTCGAATACTTTATTATGCGTGAAATAACTAAAAACAGCATTTTTCAAGATGGCTGACGGCTGTAAAAACCGCGCCAACAATTGCGACAATTTAAATCGCCAAAAATCCGTGCAACCGTCTACCAAAGTAGCACCAATTTGTGGAGTCCTTGTGGGCGGCATAAGTTAAATCTAACGGGCTTCTTGATTACGAAGACATTTTAATGGAACTGAACACACAGCAAATACACATACGAAGCACAAAATACTAATAGAAAACTGCTGACGTCTTACATCCAACTTTGAATTTTAATTCTTGTTGCCAACTCTAAGAAAGCATTCCTAATAACTATAATCAAACTATATATTTCTCCGATTTATTGTTAAGCCGATTATTTAATTTCTGGTCAATTCCTACATTATTATTAGTCCAAAGGGCTTTTGTCCCTGAGGGACTATTGTTTTCGTTTTGGCATTTTGTGTTGAAAAAGTTGCCACCAAATGTTAGATTCCTGCAATATATTTGAAGAAATTAAATAATGAAGAATCTGCATAAATGTATATATGTTTTTCGCATTGTGATAAAACAACGGTAGCTAGAGCCATCAAATTTTGAATGACTAATATGGGCGAACTACTGCGAATATGAGCATTTGGAATTTCTTTTGTTATCGATTTCATATTTTAACTTCATTTTTACATTTTTTTTTTAAATTTTACTTTCATTTCTACTTTTGTCAGATCTCACCTGGATATAAACTGGTAGTTAATGCACATGCTTTTCAACTGACAGTTTATGAAAATAGGTATATAATGTATATAATAGAATGTCTAGGCAATAGATAAAATGCTTAGCTTTTCTGGGCAAAGTATGAAATATCCGAATTATTTTAATAGCATATATACTTTCCCTAGGCATTGTATATAATACTTGGCATCACATAGAATGACAAATAATTTGATCGAGAATTGGGTAGCATTAAGGATTTCTTGAACTGGATAAATCTGTTTACATGAACATCACATCATAGCGTTTTAACAGCTAACAGATCCGTTGTTTTTTCTTAGTAGCCATTTTGCCCTTTTCATCACGATCTCTTGTAATTAACTTTGGTTAGGATATAAGGTACGTTCTCCCTCCTTCCAGCATACCTTCGTAGTGTAACGGTTAGCACACTCGACGCGTATTCGAAGAGGTCCAGGTTCGAGTCCTGGAGAGGGCATTGCTCATTTTTCACTTCTCCAGCATAAAAAACCATAATGTCTCTACAGTGGTGCCCTAACTAAAGTGTGGTGGATGATGATTCTTCACCACCGGGATTTAGCGATTGGGTCCCCTAATCCCCTATCGCCGTTTAGAAGGGGGGCAGTATATAAGGCATTTTCTCCCTCCTTCTTGCGTGCCTTTGTAGTGTAACGGTAGCACACACATTTTTCACATCTCCTGCTTCTAAAATACCTAATGACTATACAAGGAAGACACTGTTTCTTTGCACCATTCACGCACTCTGTGCAGCTCATTGTAGAATGGCCCACCAGTGGCCGAGCGGCAAAGTCGCTGAACACTGGTAGTTCGTCCGAAGTTCGAATCCCGCGAAAGAGCTGGCTGCATGGGCGTTTTCGTGGTTTTCCCATGTGTAACGTGTATACGAACCAGTTTCCCTTAGAAAGTCCTCCGCGAAGGCATCCCTCCCCTTAGGCAGATAGTCCTCGAGGCTTTGCCATAATCACACACACACACACATTGTAGAATGATCCTTGCATGTCAACATGCCATGATTCCTTCTCAAACACGACCCCTTGCTCTTCCATTTTCATAAAACACAGTATGGGGGAAAGTCTTTGCTGAATGTATTCAAAGTAGCTGAAGTATTTCTTCATTTCCGTACAAAGACTGAACAATAGACGAAGTTAGGAGGCAAATAGACAATTTTCCTTCTGAGATAAGCGTTAGAAGTATCTATGCTTCGTCCAGTGCTATTAGAAACGTTGTCAGAAAAGTATTTTATAAACTTTGACAGTGTGTTTTTTGACATTATATAAAATACCTAGGAAATGTGTGAAATATTAACTCTAAAAATGCGCCCGAACTTAAATGTGGTGGACGATATTTCGTCGCTACTAGGATTTAGAGACTGGGTTTCTAAAACCTCCAGCTGTCCTTTAAAAGGGGAAGTGTATTTTCTCACCTCTTCCAGCATGCTTTCGTGGTGTAACGGTTGCACACCAGGCGCATATTCGAGAGATGCAGGTTCGAGTTCCGGAGGCATATAAGCATTTCGTACCGTGCCACAAGCATAGGGAAAAATACATCCTCGCGATTGGATATAGCTTCTAATGAAATCATTTCCTCTACGTTTAGAGACTATCATTTCCTCTACGTTAAATTCTGAGTAGTGGTTTAGTTCAGCATGAGTTCGGAGTATTGAAATATCTCTGCGTCAGCTTCGCTGTTTAGATGCGCTTGTATTGCGTTGTGTTTAACGTTCTTAATAGTTCGAAATGTAACTACTGATTGTACTCGATGATACTGTGAAGAGCTGTACGAGTATATTTGTGGAATGTTTCAGAACTGTGACTTGTTTCTTTTGTGAAAACAAATTTTATCACGCTATTATCAGTTCTGTGTTCATTCATTATGTTACGAACTCGTACGTACGCAAAAATACCATTGAAAGAAGGGGAATTTTTTTTTTTTTTTGGTTAATGCAAACCACATTAATTTCTAAGATTTACATTAAAAAAAGTATGTGCATATTGAAAAATTTATATTTTTCGAAACTGAGATATTTTAAAAGAAATATAATGCATTTCTTTCTTACATCCTGAAATTTTCCTTTTAGATCATAGTGTTAGGTACTCCAGCAGAAGAAGATGGAAGTGGTAAGATACGACTGATTGAGAAAGGTGCATTCAAGGATGTGGATGTTGCTGTCATGGCTCATCCTCAAGTCACTAATAGACTATATCCACTTATTCTTGATCTTGCAAAAGTAAGCTATATTCGTATTTCTGATTTGCAAGGAATAATAAAATGGATGAATTCTATGCTGACATATTCGATATTGAATATTGAAAAGTTTGTGAGATCTAGTATGTTTCGCAAGGAAAAAATTGGTAACTAGGATTTCCTTAAGGTTGGTACCTTGCAAATTCGCTCACAGACGTGAAGATGAACACAGCAGAGAAAGATTGTGCAGAGGCTGTTCACACATTTTTTAGACGATGTATATTGTATTCACAAAAACTAAATTACATAAAATTCTTGTGTTTTAAATGTTCTGTCACATCCCTTATTCTGAACTATCTTTCGACACCGCAATTTCCAGGATAATAATGTCCTTTGAAGTGGCAGAAGAGATATTCTATCCCATTCCTCCCGAAAAGCTTTCCAGAGTCCTGTTAGGGTTTTGGGACAACGTTTGGATAATGCAGTTTTTAAAAGTCCGAAAGCACAAAAATCCATAGGTGACGCATCGGGAGATTTAGTAGGGATATCAGTGAAGGGTTGATACCAGTTTTTTGTTCCATTTCTTTTAGGAAAGTTACAGTGGATTTTGATGTGTGACTGCTAGCTTTGTCCTGATGGAGTGTCACAGATGGTACTGTGGCACTGTGGGTAAAGCGATGGTATTTCATTCAGAAACATTGGCGATAAAATATGTTCCTGATAGTATTTGAAGTTAATCTTGACATTTTTTTGCACTCTTTTTTATTTTTAACTTGCCATTATAAGAAAAACCAGCAACAATCATGAATTCTTTAGAAACACTTTCTTTCGATTCTTTGAACCATGTACTTAAATTTTTTTCCTCTCCTTTTATGATAATAAATGGCTTCTTTTTTTTCTTTTGTGACAATCATTTAAATACACCCATGCTTCATCTGTTGTGACAATTGTTTTCCATTTTTCTTTGGATAAGTGTTCTCATATAGAATTCTGCAGCGTTTCCTGCGTTGAGCGATATGCTTTAAAGAAGACGATGCACATTGCGTTTTTTCGCTTTCTTAAGATTTAAATCAACGTTTATCATTTTGTTTACAGTGGACACAGAGCATTTTAATGATTTTGCATCTGTCCTTTGTCTAGGGGATTTTCTTTTAACATTAAACAACGTACCTTTGCAATAGTCGAAGATGTCCGTTTTTTCCTGGGATACTTGTTTGGAATTTTTGTCCCACTTGAGGCTCCAATCGGACGTTTTTTTCCTTTCTTGTTAATGATATTACCTATCGACGCTTTAGATATCACAAAACCATGACTCTCACATCGTTTTTGGATAACGGAGTATGCATATTTCTCTTCGGAAAGAGCGTAAATGTAGGCTTCGAACCACTGCTTTGTTAAATTCGCCATTTTGAATCAAAAACAAAACTTTCAAGCCACAGATGACAATTTTGACTTTTAAAAGCATAGTACAATTGCAATTACTTCTTTTGCAGCAAACGAGTTTTTATTACCGTTACCAAAATCATCTAAAAAATGTGCGAACAGCCTCTGCACTGCTAGTCTACACAATTCAATTTAACCTAACAGGCTGACTCAGAAGCCTACGCCGGCGATAGACCAATTAGACTAACTAACTATACTAACCGCGCAGTCGCCACTCAGATTAACCCTCGGCTGCTCATCGCGCAATTTCCACGGTCAACTCAAATGTAGCAAAATCTGCTCATTCCGCGATTTCCGCGGGCATGTGTTTTTCTTCCGTTATTGAGGAGTCCATACCGTTTTTTCAACATTTAACACCTGAAATAAATTATATACAGTATTAGACGTTTAGTTTACAATTTGGTAAAAAGATATCGTTAGTTATCCACTAAATTGTGGCATTTGAAGACACGTGATATTACCTCAAACTACACATTTTTCTTACAGAAATGGCTGCTAGAAAACATTCAGCGATTATCTTGATTATTTAATTAAATTATTGAATTATTAATTAGATTTATAGATTAGATTAATAATTAGATTGATTATTAATTAGGTTTATTGAATCTGGTGCAAAGACTGTGAAATTGCACTTTGCCTTATAAGGTATTTCTCCCACTTCCCTAGCGTGCCTTCGTGGTGTAACGGTAGCACGCTGGGCCGGTATTCCAGAGGTCCGTGGTTCAATTCCCGGCGAAGGCGGTTGCTAATGTTTCATCTTTCTGCCTTCCAAAAAATCGTAATGACTCTACAAGTGGCGCTCGAACTAAAAAGGGTTGTGGATGATGATTCTCCACACCCAGGGTTTGGCGACTAGGTCCCCTAAAACCCTAGTCGCCCTTTAAAAAGGGGAGTATATAAGGTATTTCTCCCACTTTCCAAGCGTCCTTCGTGGTGTAGTGGTTCTGCACACTAGGCCGGTATTCGATTCCCGGCGAAGGCGTTGTTAATTTTTCGTCTTGGCTGCTTCCAAAAAATACCTAATGTCTCTACAACCTTGAACCCTGTTTAAAACTCTATCATACTAAACTACATTTCTAAAGTATTTTTTCCTCAGCACTTTGTATTTTCTTAAATTTTATATATTTCACTTTTTTATATTATGCAATAAGTAGAAATTAACTGTAGTTCGATTGAAATTTATTTTTAAAAAATTCTTTTTTGGTGATAACATCTGAAATTGGTGTTCTGGCAACGTAATTTCTCGTGATAAAAATCTATATAAAATATATTTTCTAGAAAGGAAAAATGCATTTTCCAATTCTCCAATATATATAGATTTAAAATAGGAAAAAAAAATTGCACAATTTTTCAAGCGATTTCGGTCTACAGATTGAGCAGTCAGAGGATTAACAGCTGGAGGAAATAGCAAACGTGAGCTTCACTAGCGAAATCACGCTTTGTCTAACCTTTACGTTCCAATAGTTGGTGCTATTCCATTAGAGTTGCGTCAGTTAAAAATGCACGGAATTTTCTTGTTGTATGTATGTAAGTATAAAATGATTATTTTTTAATATATTTGGGGAGTACTCTTGGGGAGTATAAATTTGGGGAGTATAAATTTGGGGAGTATTCTGGCCAATCCATTCGAGTGATATCTTCACTTTCCAGTAGCTCCTCAACAGCAAGAGTCCGATGTGGCCGTGCATTGTCATCCATTAAAAATTAAATCTGGGCCAATGGCACCTCGGAACAGACGCACATGGGGAAGGAGTACCTCCTCACAATAGCGATCCCCGGTTACAGACCCTCTGTCGAAAACGTGGAGCTCAGTTCTCCCGTTCAGCATAATGCCTCCCCAGACAAGAGCTCCAGGACCACCGTTACGGTGTCTTTCCTTGATGTTACTGGGATAAAACCGGGTCCCGAACTCTCTCCAAATCAAAACGAGTTGAGAATCGCTTCTGGTACTGAACTGACTCTCATCCGTAAACAGGACACGACTCCATTGATCAGTTGTCCAGTTTTTGTGCTCTCTGCGCCACTGTAAACGGTGGCGTCAGTGGCCAACTTTCAACGGGAGGCAGCGTTCAGGACGGCGAGCGATTAGGTCCTCTTTGTGAAGGCGTCTGGCCACAGTAAACCGCGACACTTGTCGCCCCGTGCTGTACAGAGTTGCTGACTGCTGTCGGCCTCTTTTCGCCTGCAGGACGATATATCGGTCATCCCCTGCAGTTGTCGTACTCGGGCGGCCACCATCAACCTTTCTAACAGCTGTACCTGTGGTTTAGAACGCTTTCCAAACGCGCGAAACGACACTTTTGTTGATTCCGAACTCCGCAGCTACACTGGTGACAGTACGCCCCTCCTCCAGCTTTCCGAGCATTCTTCCACGTGTGAGTAGTCCAGGTGATTTCTTCTAGCCATATTTCACGAACTGACTCACTGGCACTTGCAGCGAATATGTTGAATTGCGTCTCCGTCCTTCCTTTTATTCTACTGTTGAGCTGCGAGCGCCGACATCCCGCGTTTCGTTTACGCTCACGACGCCTCTGACGTTTCGTTCCTGATATTTGCATACGCAGGCGTTTCTACTGACTTACGTGTTCATTGTACTGATCTCCAGACCTCCTTTTCTGCAATTTCATGGCTATCTGCTAAATTTTTATATTGTTGCTTAAGTTTTGCACACCAGTTTACTTCTACTTCACTGCGTATTCCTCACTACTTCACTACGTACTTCTAAATACTTTAAAGTGTTTAGAAGTTGATTTGAAGACTCTTCGTTACTTTAGAAATCTCTCTAATGTGCGTAATTGCTATTATCTATCATGACCATCAAACGAGATCCTCTATTTGCTGGAATAATGGAAGATCTAATATGAACCTCAAGGGAATATTGGCAAAATTAAGAGACTGTTCTCATAAAAAAACGTAAAACTTTGTCTAAGAATGTGCCTTATTCTCTACAGCTGCGGGGATTAAGTTGCTTTTTATTTTGAAGCAACCTGTCCAGTTACTCTCGCTTTCAACCCACGCTTTCTTGCCAGAATGTAAATGAGTTAGCGCGCCGGTCAAATAAGGTAGAAAGAAGTTAGGGAAGGTATTGGAAGATGAATTTAGAGCGTGTTCTGCCCCTGAAAGCCACGTTATTATCTTTGATTTACTAAGGATTAGATTCCTGGGGTGCTTTTAGCCATTCAGCTTTGTTTACGCCGATATTTTAGGAGTCAGAGCCTGAATGCGCATTAAGTAGCACGTGAAAGCCGTTAGGCTAACTTATTCTATTCTAAGTTACTTTTTGAGTTAAGCCAAAAGCGTTGGCTTTTGCAAGCATAACTCGGTGCCAACTATGAATAATATTGAGTTAATAAAGGGTTTATTACACTGTTTCTGTGGACTTTGTCGTACTTCAGAATTAAAAATAATTCCTTACACAGCCTGTTATTGTTTACTTAGTTTATGTTCGCTAAGAATACAAGACATTATAAAGAAAAATAATTACATTTATGAACTTTGTGCATGGAAATTATGTTCTACAATATTTTTTTTTTTCCAAAAATTACATAACATATTTGCGATCTTTCAGAGTTAAGAAAATCATGTAGTTTCTTGGGAAAGAAGTTTATGTCTTCATGAAAACATATATTAGGTTTATTTTTTAGAAATCTCTGTAACGTATATAATTTTATTAATTTTGTAGTTGACCGTGATATTCCGTGTAAAAGAATATACTGATCCTTGGGATGGACACACAGCTGTAGATGCAGCTGTGAGTTGTTACAATAACATCTCAATAATGAGAAGACGCTTCAATTCAAAATGGAGAATCAATGGTAATTTTTTTTTCCCTCTCGATTTTTTTGAAACTGTCTAGTAAATAATTTCTGAATAGATTTTATTTCTCTTTTTAGTAAGTCGATATTTTTGTACACATTTTTCTGCAGTTTAAAACATCTGAGTTAAAGAAAACAGTTCGGGAAAAAAAAAAAAAAAAAAAAAAAAAAAAAAAAAAAACCTTACCCTTGCTATTAAAAATAACTGAAAAAAATTTATTAAAAGAACTCATTGCATATTAAAATTACAGTTCCTTATTATCATCCTGAGAGCTGGTTTTTTGAAATTACGATCTAAAATACAAATCACGACATTATGAAATATAAGATAATTTTAAAGAGCATGTGTTAAATATGTGTCTTTTTTCACATTTCGTTGAATGCCTGTAAGGTATCTTCTCCCTCCTTCCAACAAGTATTCGTGGCCGTAGCGGTAGCACGCTCGACGCGTATTCCAGGTGAGGGCAATGCACATTTTTCACGTTTTCTTTATCAAAAAAGTAATGCTTCTATAAATGCAAAACCTTAACATTACAAAGTAATCATTTATTTCAAAATTCATATAATTTCATATTCTGCATTATACTGAACAGTATCAACTGGGTGTATTAATGTACGTCATATGTGCTGTTCACATATCTGCAGAATTCCTGTTGGATATTTGCTTGTTACATTCATAGTAGTCACTTGTGTTACTGACTTATTTACGGTTCGTTTACAATTCACTTATGTATAGTCTTCCTCATAGCTGAAGGTGACGCTGAGAAATACAAATCAGTGTATAGGAAAATCCTCTCTTTCGTCTTCTTCTTCTGAAAGCATATTCTTTACTGCATTAACTGTATTTTGAAGTGCCATTTGTTGCCGGTTTACTTGTTCGTACTTCGAGACATCAGTCATCATCCAAGATATTTTTCGCTTGGAAAATTCGCTCGTGAACCAAATTCCACTGCATTTAAAAGCCCCACACTGTATGTTCTGCCTCGACATGGGAGAAGGGCGGCAACGCTTTTGTTGGCTGTCCTGCTTACTCAGCTAATCGGACCCAACCGCTTCCCCCCCCCCCCGAGCTGGTCACTCGTTTTGTCTATAAGGTAGGAGTGGACAGTATGGGGGAGATTAGTTGCCTTCACAAGACTAGATCCACCGTTTGGTTCGATTCGGTGGTTCGTCCAATCTCGACAGGGATTGTAATGGTACTGTCAAGCCTGTCTCAGGCTGTGTGATTGCTACATACTATTAAATAATCATAAAGGTTGTCCTCGGGGGTTTTGACCCCTTGGGATCGCTTCTGCTATTAACCGTTTGTTATTAACCGTCTAAGCTGCTTTGGCGGTCTAGGTCTGGGTGCCTTTCTCTGTGCTTCACTGGCACTTTATTTAAAAGTCAACACGTTATTCCCTATTTATGAGGACAGTGACCACACTTTCACAATAAGTTATGATGATGATTTCCATCTGGTGGTCTCGGGAGGGGGGCAGCAATCTGCAAACAAAAGCACAGGAAAGTGTCGATAAATTTGTAGATTGGGCAAATACTCACAAACTTGTTATCTCCACACAAAGGACAGAAGATCTTACAAGTGACACTTTCAAACGTAATCCTTCTGTTAAGCTTAACAGCTTAACGCGGAGAGTTTTAAATGTGGGCAGCAAATAAAACACTTTAGCCCTCTTTTTGACAGTACACTCTATTTGCTACCGCACTTTAAGCAACGAGTCCAGTTATTGGCAAACTCAGTGTAACGAACATCTCTTAAATGAGGGGGGGGGTGGTGCCAGTGCAACTTTTTAAACACTGGTACCTGACAATATTGATTGTACCTTGATTCAGTTGTGCAACGAGCCATCTTATATGGTGTTACTATATAGGGTTATGAAGTCAATCAACATCGAAAGCTGATCATTAACTCAATCCAAAGTTTATTATTATTGCATATTGCACAACTTCAACTGCAATCCTTATTAAATTTACTGGAAGCGTAGACTAGACAATCGCAACACAGACTTTTAAGCAGAGCTTTTAGCCCTTTAAGCAGCAGTTAGCTATGCTAAAGATTTTCAAAGACAAATAAACATTAACAGCTACATGGCTTCAAGCCTAGATGCAACTGCAGGTACTTGTAGCAGATGCCCTCGTGTATATAGCGTCAGAAAAGCCTTGTTAGCATTATCACCGAAAAAAAGACCTCGTCTGTATTGGGTTCCCGACTAGTATACAGAGGAATGGACTTGCTGATGAGCTTGCGAAGTATTCTCCCAATGATATAGCTATTCCAGAACAAGCAACACTTCTACTGTCATACCTCAAGCACATTAAAATCTGCACTTTATGATTAAATGGCAGAAGCACTGGTAATTTGGAAACGCGGACAGACATTTTCTGCCCAAAAGTAAAAATTAAGCTGTTTAGCAGCAATCCTCTTTTACACACGTAACGGATCATGGGCCCTTTCTCAACTACCTCTAGCGATTCGGAAAGAAAACACCAGATTAGTGTTAATGTGGATAACAGGGCACTACCGATCACTATGTGTTTTCTTGTATCAATACAAGGAAACAGCATATTACAAAACCCAGTACTTCGAACTGCGCAGTATGTGACGAAAAGCACGAAGTCTAGTTCTTGTCATTTCACAAAATACAGCCATTTATTAAATTACTGTGTTTTGATACACTATTCCACCCATGGAACTGTAGCTTTGCTTTATCTTAGGAGGCATATTAATGCGTCAATAACCATAAGTCAACTCATATCTTTTGCTCTTATAATATGCACCGCATACTGTTATTCAAAGTTGTAGAAGAACTTTCTTTATATATGCCTAGATTACATCGTAAATACTTATTCACGTCTAAATAATCTAACTTTGTATATAATATTTATATGTTTGTATACGCATATGCATACCATCTGCATTTCTTATGTTCATCTAATGTTCTTTTAATGTTATAGTGTAACTTGTACTAGTGTAACTTATAGATTACATTAGTCGGGTGTCAACCATCTTTGTATTGTTAACGCCAGGGGAAGGATATACTCCGGCGGTGCTTTGTTCTATTCTGTGTTTAAACGAAGGGAAGTGGCAAGTTGTATTTATTTGGATGAAATAATTATAGACTTTACACTAAATTAAAAGGAAATAGAGTTTTTAGAAAACAACATTATGAATGTGCATTAATCAAAATTATGGTTGGAAAAAGTTATTCAGTCTATTAGTCTATTTAACTCTTTCACAGAGAAGTCGCCTTCACTCAGATAGCGATAGGACGCCCGAAAGCGCGCGACCCTTATCTACTTGGAGTTTTCTTCCATCAGGTTAGTGCATGGCTTATTGATTTCGGGAAACTTTAAATGGTATTCCAGTCATTTATTTGAAGCGACTATAACGTAGCTCTCTTATATAAATGCACCTTTCATCTTCTATGTTTGGCGTAGCTTTCAGCAGTTGAAATCCTGAGGCGTTCATTGATTCAGCAGTCTTAATTCAGTTCCTTGTTTCAGCAATCTTGAGGCGTCTAATCCTTGATTCAGCAGTCTTAATTCAGTTCCTTGTTTCAGCAATCTTGAGGCGTCCAATCCTTGATTCAGCAGTTACGATCCTGAGGCATTCCTTGATTCAGCAGTCTTGATTCAGTTTCTTGATTCAGCAGTCTTGATTCAGTTTCTTGATTCAGCAGTCTTGATTCAGTTCCTTGATTCAGTTTCTTGATTCAGCAGTCTTGATTCAGTTCCTTGATTCAGCAGTCTTGATTCAATTCCTTGATTCAGCAGTCTTGATTCAGTTCCTTGATTCAGTAATCTTGAGGCGTCCAATCCTTGATTGAGCAGTTGCAATCCTGAGGCGTTCCTTGATTCAGCAGTCTTGATTCAGCAATCTTGAGGCGTCCAATCCTTTATTCAGCAGTTGCAATCTTGAGGCGCTCCTTGATTCAGCAGTTGCAATCCTGAGGTGTTCAGAATATTTCAACTCATAAGGTTGTAATGTTACTCAATTCTTTGTCTATGTTAAAATGCAGAGGAACCTAGTGAACTAAGTAGCGAACTTATCGCCAAGTTCGAGTGCGTAACGACAGTACGTGCTCGAACTTAGCTACGAGTACGTAACTCTTCAGAAGAGTTAAAATACCCTTTTTTTTATTCAAAGAAATAATAACAGATGGCCCCTTCTCGGGATTACAGGCCTCCACTCGGGCTTTTAACGTAAAAGAATAAGAAACTAATCTAAGACTAAACTAAACAGACTCAGCCGAAGCTGGACACAAATACCTAACGTAGTTGGCGCTTAATTTAACCTAGCTGGCGATTATTAACAGGCACGTACAATACGGCCGAGCATAGTAGCACTAAGTAGTCAGACGGCAAACACGTGCCACTAAGGATTCCTAAGCTTTCTCTCTCGAAGTAAGTTGAACCTTCCTCAAATACTCCTTCTAACTCGTTTGCATAAAACACGATATTAAAAACTCATTCTGGTAGGGCAAAATAGATGGGAAAAGAGAATAAAGCATGTTTAACTTAAAAATAACTGTGAGAAATTTAAAGTAACCTCTACAAGGTAATATGCATTTCTGCAATAAATTCTCGTTGAAGATCGAAGAAACAATTTAAGGCTGTGTCTCAATTCATACTAAAACATGATTCGATTAAAAAGTTTGCATTTTTGCAAGTGAAACTCTTGTCTTTACCTAAATAAATATAGATTGAAATGACTCTTTAATTATTGGGCAACTTGTATTAAATTACGTTTAAAACATCGGGTATTGTGATGTGATGGTATTCTTTAAAAGAGTCAGCACTATTTCTTCTTTCTTTTGGAAGTCACGATCCCTATGTCTGATGATCAAATAAATCAAATATGGAATCTTAGTTACTTCCTGAAAGAAGATAAAATGGAAAGTTATTGAGTTTCATAAATAATTCTGGGTAATGTGAGTGGATTTGAACATTTTAAACCAATCAACAACAACAATACCCCACGATCCCCGAAAAAAAAAAAAAAAAAAAAAAGCCAAATTCTGTACTTTCAAGTGGATTAAAAACAGAACGGTTAGTGAGCATTTCAAAAGACCGTTACAACGTTGTTTGGGTTATAACTGCATTTTTACGAAGTTGATATCGGTAAGTAAGTTGCTAAATAAACAAGGAACTCATGATCTGGGAGATCTTTTGAATGATTAACATATGTAGGACATTTAGTTGATTTATGCAAGTAGCTGCCTAAAATTATTAGGCTTATGTTATTTTTTCATAAATTATATAACCGAAAGTATAATCCTTACAACGTTTGTGACTTCTTTTACTTAAAGTGTAAACTTAGCTGTTAGAAGTTTTCTAGATTTCAGAATGAAATTTTTAGACTGTTTTACTTATTGCCTCTGTTTCATTTATTATTATGACTTAAATTACTTGCAGAATCGTTTAGTTTACATATATGCAGGCAAAACATGATCGTAATCTATACTGAAAGGTTTGTTAATCAAAATTTACATAATTTTGTTTTACGTCTTAGGTATAATAAGCAGATGTAATGCTGAAGAAGCTGAAATGTTATTTTGTTACCGAGCCCCAACAAGGAAGGAAATATATAGCTTGAAAAAAATGCTAGAGAAGTGCATAGAAGCTGCAGCGTCTATTTCTGGATGCTCTTTTATTTGCAATTTCCATGAAGAAGAAGATAAAAATGAATGCAAGGGTATGATTCACAACAAGACAGTGGCAGAAGTATTTGGAATGCATGCAAAATCCTTAGGTATTTTATTCATTCTTTTTATATCCAGTTTTCATGTAAACAATTAATAATGGATTATTTTAAATTATTAAGAATTTGTCCGCGTCCCGTACGTGCTCTTGTCAGCGTTTTCCACAACCCCGAAGCAGACAATCTTTCCTTTTTCAGCATACCCCTTATTTAGGGATATATATATAATGGCACACATGCTTGAAATGTCATACGGTTTGAAAAAAAAAAAAAAAAAAAAAGCTTGAAACGGGCAACAGATGGCGCTTCATATGATAACAAAAGCAATAATTAGCATAACAATTGATTTTTAGCAAAGACTATGTTCTTTATTATAAATGCTCAACATTTTGCTGTCATTCATCAACTATACCTGTAGTCGAGGGGCAATGTGAACAGCACTGTGCAGCATATCTGCAGCTATGGTGAGAAACTGCTGTCGCATGTTGTCTTTCAGTCCCCCTAATGAGTTCGGATAATCGCGGTAGACTTGCGATTTCAGGTAACCGCACAACCAATAATCACACGGATTGAGATCTGGAAACCCGAGAGGCCAAGCATGAAGTGGCGGCTCAGCACGCGATCCTTACCAAACGATGTGTTCAAAAGATCTTTCACACGTGTAGCAATATGGAGCGGAGCGGTATCCTGCATAAAAGTCATACCTTTCGACAGGTGTTTATCAGCCAGACTAGGGTTAATGCCGTTTTGTAACATATCAGAACCAGTCACACTGGCAGTTTGAAAAGCAGAACCGAGCATTTCCTCGATGAAAAAGAGTCTGATCACGATTGGTGTGATAAATCGACATCACACCGTGCCCAACACCCAGAGGCGAGGATAGAAAAGTGGACCTACTAATGTAGATTGGTCTTTGACTTTATCATTGTTTTTAGAGTCAGACAGTTTATCATTACAAGAAACAGTTCTCCCTTAGTTACGTTAGCGTAGCTCGTGCATGTAGTTACACTAGCAGATTTATTAACAATATTTTCACTAACGTAGTGCGGGGTTGGCCTAGATATGTAATCTAGGTGGCACTGGGTTGGCACCTCCTTTCATTCTTACCCCCATGGTACGCACAAGCATCATTACCTAGGCTCGAAGGAGTTTAACATAAATTACGGACATACCGTAGATACGTAGATAACGACCCAAGCGGGCGCAACCCCACGGCTTTATATAGTGTATGGTCAAAAATGGTAGAAATTGCTCCAAAAGAAGAAGAAGGTGATTATTTCCACTTATATATGATTATATCCCGAAGATGACCACTTATATCTACCACGTAGCGATCACGCAGCTCCGAGACATACATGATAGCACTAACACGGACCCTGCCGAGCTTGAACGGACTACTGTGTTCCCTCGATGTTGATGCTGTTTAGGTACGGATCTTAGCCAGCACTCAAGAGAATTCCCTTCAGTGAACCCCATTTTACAAAAACCGTACGTACAGACGGCACGCAAAAATATCGTTCAAATCGATTCTGGAACGGTCAAAATAGGTAGTTCCTTTGAAACACGATATCTGAAATTTTCTAAGATTATAATGCTTCCTTTATTTCGCACAAAGAAGTAAAAAATTTCCAGTTCATTTATGCAGACGTAAAGTGTAATCGCATTCTGTGTCTAAAGAAACTTTTTGAAAGTTTCAGATATTGATTCAACCATTTTCATGAATGTATATTTTTTTCAGGCGTCTTGTTTCGAGATTTTGATCCCAGATTCACAGAATCTGCGGTTTCAACAGATATGGGCAATGTTTCCCATGTTGTTCCCAGTATTCAACCAGAATATTCGATTGGAGCAGCACCGCACGTCAACCACACCCCTGGCTTTGCAAAGGTTGCGGGATCCCTGAGTGCCCAGGAACCTACACTTGTTATAGCCGAATCTCTGGCTCGAACTGTTGTGGACTTGCTGTCTAACCGGGATCTCATGAACAAAGCAAAATTCGAGTTAGAATTTTGCAGAGTAAACGAAAATGTAGTAAGATCTCCTGGAGAATGACGTATTTCAAAGAATGTTTTGAGATATATACGGTATTCATGTTCGTACGAAAAACATGTTTATATTTGTCAAGATGTGAAAATAAATCCATGCACATACACATCAAATACGTAAGAGTACACTTGCGAGAAACAAAGAATTAACAACCTGCACAGTACATGTTTTTAAGAAACAAATAAAACAACAACCACACACACACACACACAACAAAAAAAAAAAAAAAAAAAAAAAAAAGGGTTAACTATAAAATCGGCTTTTCTAAATTACATTTCGTCAATATAGTCATTTCATTGTAAAATGATCTATTTAAATCATTAATGTTGATCATCTCTTTAAATCATCTCTTTGACGCGCCCACCAACAGCCGAGCGCCAACGTCGCTGAACACTGGTAGGTTGACCTGGGATTGAATTCCGGCGAAGGGGCTGACTGCATGGTAGCTTTTCGTGGTATTCCCGATGTGTATCGTGGCTGTGAGCCAGTTTCCCTTAAAAAGTTCTCCACCAAGGTGTCCTGCTTCATATGCAGATAGCCCTCGAGTTGCTTTGCCTTAATCAATTAACCTAATCTGACATTTGTTTGACGGTAATAAGCGTTACTTAAATAAAGTTCTTTCAATAATGCATTTCATTGATTCTGCTGTTCATTTCACTTTTGAACCTAAGACGTTCAAGTCTCTTCCGTTCCTTGACATCTTGGTCACATGCACATATGCAGTTTAAGTAGCACTATTTATCGTAAACCTTCATCTGTTTGCCTTCTACCATGTTTCAAACTCTGTCATTCGACTAAACAGAAGTTAACTAATTTTTATTCCTCGTTTGTCGTGGACTTCAAGCGTGCTCCTCAAAATCAGTTTATGATCAAGAACTAAATTATTTAGCAGTTGCTGTCGACAGAGGCATCTAGCATTATACAAGAAGTGGTTAAAAAATTCTCACCACAACACATCAATTCTATTGTTATCCCTTTATTTTCATCGATTAGTTATAAAATTGCACGCATTTAACAGAAAGTCAACTTCCGGGTCGTTTTTTAATTCTGACAATGAAATATTTAAAGACCTTATTTCGGCTATCAGCTGCTGGGATATATACAGGATTCTCTGTCATTGTGATTTAATATACATTAGTCAAACTAAGACAGCCTTAAAGTTTCGTGCTAGTGAACATGAGGCATATAGTATTCGGAAAAGGAATTAATGAATATGAGGAATGTATTAGGTCTTTCTTTTGAGAAAGACGAATATTCTCTGTTACATAACACTATTGATCAGAAAATCACATTTTCTATTTTTCTGAAGCCAAAATTATTCAAAAATCATCTTCCTTTTAATTATCTTTTCCAGAGGCGTTTCGCATTCATAAAAATATTTTAATTCTACTTAATCATCTCAATCCAATGCGGCTTTACAGCCAGCTTTTAAGTAGATTATTTCGTAGTTGTTTTCGTTTTTTCATCAATAGATGGAGCCAGTAGCGTGGTTTTATTCCTTTCATGCTTCAGCTAATTTTATCTTATCACTGGCTTCACTTTCTCATCATTTGCACTTCTGCACTGAAGAAGTCGGTCCTATATTTAAACCTTTGAAACTAGTCCTGCAAATTTATGAATTCTTGTTTCTGATCACCAATTCTTGTTGCTTTAACTCCTCCAATAGCGTTTTTTGTTATTATGTAGAATTATTTAAGTTTGTTTTTTCGCTGTGTAATATTGTAATATTTTATTTGAAAGTGAAACTAAGAGAGAGTCTAATGTAAAAAGTAACGATGATGACTTACAATTAATACTGCAGTTATCATCGTAAATTACTTATATTAGAAACTACTACAACATTAAATTATAAATTGAATTTTATTTAGTTATGATTTAAAACAATTTTAGCGTTATCAACAAAAGATCTTAATGGCTAAAAACTCAAATAAAGAAAAAAAAAAAAAAAAAAAGAATTAAATGACAAAGCACATGGAAATAGCAAGCTGGACCGGTTTATTTGGCAAATAACACCAACCTTAAATTTTCTTTTTATTATTTTACTTGCTGTCGAAGAAGGTAGCACGCTTTGCGTCAAAACTGTTTCATACTACAACTTAAACGGAAACAAATGCTGAAAACCCCTTTCGCAGAGGATATATTCACATTTCTTATTCTTTTTCTTTTTCTTTCTTCTTCTTCTTTTTTTTTTTTTTTTTTTTTTTTTTTTTATATTGGGATGAAATTCACCTTCTCATATTTTACTGAAATAAAGTAAAAACTAGATTCTTATTTTAAAAATTTATCCTTGATAAATATTTATAAAAATTATTTAGATTTTTGAAATCACAAATTTAGAACTATTAAACACCAGTACAATTTTTTATATGAAATCTTCAGAACATTCTTCTAAACTTGACATTCGCCAAAGTCTAACTCTGTTTCTTTTATTTGTGACTCGCCATCTTTACTTTTTATCGTCTGCGAAATTTTAATTTTACAATATAGAACTGTACAGATGTTCTTCACTGGATAGATTTTGTACTAAATATTCAAATACAGACTGCAAATGCTTTACTAATATATTATATTTCTCTCTCTTGGAATCCCAGCTTATTACAAAATAAATATCATCAAGGTATTCTTTGCAATAAAACAATTTATTCCAACATATCAATGTTAATCAGTAGCTAACACAATAATTCGGACACTCGAATGTTTTTTCGAGATGTTTTGAAAAACAACATTTCATGTTATATATTTCTGTTTGAAGTAAAAATACATTACAAGAATTATCGTCTGCCTTGGAAATTATTACTTAGTAAAATATATTAACAGTTTTAAATCTGAAGTTAACATGGCAAGACACTGTAAATCAATGGCAAGTTCTGTTCGAAATTTAGTTCTTCATGATTTTAAATATGATAAAATTATTCAACATATTTACGACGATTCAAAATATTTATGTTTTAAAAAATATTTATGTCGTACTAAAACGATGGGAATTCGGTTAAAAATGAAGTGCGGCGCTAGGACTACATTCCAAGCTAACACGAAGGAATCAGAGATTTATTCTACGAAATATCAAACAAAATCCACTAGAAGCGGATTCAGAAGAACAATTTGCAATAAAAGTTAACTCTGAAACTATAAAAAAGTCATTAGAACACATGGATAGAATGGGCGATGATAAAAAATGAGCTCCTTCGTCGACAAGAAGACAACGAAAATACGCATGACATTCGTAAAAATCCATGGTAAGCAAAGATTTATTATACTGAAGTAATGTTACATTTTAATACTATATTGAAATTTTTATAATTGGTTTTTGTGTAATTGATTTATCATATTGAAATAATGCTCCCGTTTGCCCGAAAACCAATATGATTTTGTTTTCGAATACTGGCATTTTTAAAATTCTTTTGCAGAAATCTCTTACTAAATATTGGAACACAAGCTTAATTTTTTTCTAATAGTATGTTATTTTTTATCTTTAAGCCTTGCTTGTTGTAAAATAGATATAATCAAAATATTATTTGTAATAAAATAATATGTTCAAAAAGTATTAATAAGTAATTTTTAGAATAATTCGGACACTCCAAGTTTTTGCTAGATGTTTTGGTAGAGAAAGTTTCTTGTTGCAGGCTTTTGTTTTAACTGAAAATACATCACAAGAACATGAAGTGAAAATACATCTGCATCTGAGAATTATTACTTGTTTAGCGAAATGTATTAATATTTCAGTATCTGAAGTGAACATGGTAAGACGCTACAAATTAATGACAATTCTGTTAAAAATTCAGTAATTCATTTTTTAAAAAATGGCAAATGTATTCGAAATATCCAAAAAATCATTTATGTAAAGCGTTCAGCTATTTTTAATGTTATAAAACGATGAAAATTGTGTGGAATCGTTGAAAGTGTATACGTTAAAAAAGTGAAAAACAGTTTATTAATATTCAGTAACTGAATATTTGCAAATAAAATTGAAAAACAAAAGTGTCCGAAAATACATGGGAGCCAACGTAAATGTCAAAACATCTGTATCATTGTGATTGGCGCAGGAGGGAATACAGAAACAAGAAAGCGCTGTTATAAATTATATCGACTGTTTCTGATGTCTTTTCAGCACTCTTAAATTAAAAAAAATCTTATGTGTACACCACATGACTTCCTTGTACGGAATATTAAATTATACGCATTTTTTCTTGCATTTCATTTAAACTTATTGGATTGAATTAAATCTACTTTTTCGATAGCGCATAAACCACAATAGAAAAAATGCACTCTTTAAATTTCACTATATTTGTCTACCATAGCGACACTCTGGCGCTCTAGGTTCACTTATCAGCATCATAGTCGTTCATATTATAACTCAGAATTCACAAAATTTATATCATTTGAAGAATTATCTAATCGTTGCCACATGTTCTATTCAAATACTATAATATATCTAGAACGATGTACAAAAGAAATTAAGCAAAGAAAACAAAAAAGAAACAGTTTTTCACAGACGATTCAGTATTTGTCATTCAATTAATTCAGTTTTCCCTTCGCGACAAGGCAAAAAATACATAAAAACTTAAAATATCTGTATTAAAAATTACGAAGTAAATCTTAAACGTTTATTTCCTCGAAAAAATTCCAGCATGATTTAAATAATAAATGAAGGCGTTATCTTTGTTGTTACGAAGCTAAGTTTCTCTAGATTGGCAACAAATCTACTATTCTGCTGTTTCAAATGTGAACAAATATGTCCGCCATGTTATCTAAAACTTAAGGCTTACCCGCACTCAAGCAGCTTTTAAATTGTTGATAATTGTACAAATATTGATTGCAGATTTACTACAGGCATAAAAACCTTAACCGAAAGATAAGAACATAATTCTATCATTTTTTAAAGCAAACAATGCACAGTTTACAAACATATAAGAGTAAATAAACTGTGATCACTGAGCCGGGTAACAAAGTGGAAATATATATAAATAATATTTATATACGTTTGGTGCAGCCGATTGCAACCAAAATACGAGGTGCACATCTCCATATTATAGCAGTCATATATACAAAATTTCAACGTCCTGAGGCTACTCGTTTTTGAGTTATGCGAGATACGTACGTACGAACGTACATACGTTCGTACAGACGCCACGAAAAATTCTCTTCAGAATTCATTTTAAAGCAGTTTTATAATTTTGTTTGGAGGAAAAGAGTCTTTCATTGTCTCTTTACGTACAGATGTCACTCAAAAACATCGTTAAATTGCATTCGATAGCAGTCAAAATGGACATTTTCGTTGAAATATGCTGCCTAAAACTTTTCGCTATTACAATACTTCCTTTTTACTTCGTACAAGGAAGTAAAAATGAGTTTTTAGTTTTTGATATTGTGAAAACAGTTGCATATTAGGAAGAATAACAAACATTCGAACAGTTAAAAGCTACCATGTTCAGAAAAAATACATGAGATTTTACAGAATAGCTATTTTTGAAGCATCTAAGCTTTAGAAAATGTTTTGCGTTAAGAAATGATAATAAAAATTCATATAAAGGGACATAAAAAGACTTCACATTCTTAAGATATTTATTAAAATTCTTTTTGTTTCTCTCTCTCCCTTACACATAAAAAAAATATTAACTTATTCCTATATTTTCGGAAGTCTAGAGAAAAAGTCATGTTTACTATTCGCAATAAGAATTTTCAAGATTATTTTTGGACTTTTAACATAGCAACGAAAATATATTTTTCTCATCGAATATTTGCCTGAAGACTTTCGTACGGAAAATTCATATTTTGTAATTGCTGAACTGTGATAGCGGACAATACATCTTTTCCATTAGTCTATGCTCTTTTACAGATAACGCAGCTTGACGGTACTCAAGAGCACTTTTTATGAAGGATGTTTCATCAAGACCACCCAAACTGTGCACAGCCAGATTTCTCGCTTGAAATACGTAAAAGTTTTCCGAAGAACTTTATCGTTTGAAATGAGTCACTTTCTCTCATAACAAGGTCAAAAGGCTCGATGGGAGGGAGAAATCTGAAAACTTTCAGATTTTATAACACGCCCAAAGGAAGCGTTTTTTTTAATGTTTTTTTTACTTTAATTTATTAGATATCATGTTGTTCCCACTTAAACCGCATAAAATTCAATTAAACAACATTATCACAAAATATTTAACAACAGCCTATCTTTAGAATTTCTGATAGACAGTCTTGCGCTGGGATTTTTTTTTTTTTTTTTTTTTTTTTTCCGTACGGTGTACTTTGAAATTGTGTAATCAAAAATTCGTTAAAAGTTTTAAAAAATATGAAATAGCTAATAGAAACAAATTCGAAATTCACAATTCGGGCTTCCAGGTGCCAATGTTCGGTGGAGGATTACGTTATTCAAAATTTGATGGCTTTAGGTACTTTTTTTTTCACAGTGCGAGAAACATACATACATTCATTCAGATACTTCATTATTTAATTTCTTTAAATATAATACAGGGGGATAATATTTGGTGGCTACAATCAAACAGGTGATACGTCGCTTATAGCGAACCGACGAAAAATGTCGTTTCGAGGCAAATAGCCCTTCTGGAACAAAATTACAAACTTGTCAAATCTGGCAAGACGTTCCACTCTTTAAAACGTTATTGAAATTTACGTAATACTTTAAGAAGATGAAGAAGCCAAAGAAAAAATGCATTTGGCACTTCACGTCATTGAATTTTTCGACGGAGGGAAATTTTAGAATTTCCTCAATGTTCTGTACGATGAATGGGCCAACCTCTTCCGGGTAAACTCCTTTATTTCTCTATCATCTTAGATTTCCCTTTGGGATTGGATTAGATTGGATTATTTAATTATGGCAAAGCACACGAGGGCTATCTGCCTAAAGGGGGGATGCCTTCGTGGAAGACTTTCTAAGGAAAACTGGCTCGTATACACGTTACACACGGGAAAAACCACGAAAACGCCCATGCAGCCAGCTCGTTCGCGGGATTCGAACCTCGGACCGAACTACCAGTGTTCAGCGTCTTTACCGCTCGGCCGCTGGTGGGCCTAATTTCCCTTTGGGAGCTTAATTGACGAACTTTCTAAGTGAAGTGGTCAAATAATATTACTTTTACTGAGCTGGACACATCCCAAATTTTGCGATATCGCAGCATAATGGTAACAAACAAAAGTTCTTGCATTTTGTTTATATTATTCTGACAAGAGTCAATTTAAAGCTGATGTTTAAAATTACGCAATTCAGTAGGGTTCTAGCTGAAAGGAACTCCAAAGTGTAAAAGCCGAATGCTGAAAGTTAAAGATATCTTTGCCGTACAAGACGTTGCGTAGGGAACACCGCGGGGAGGAGGATCTATACCATAACCCCCCCTGTCGCCTATATCGTTGACAAGTTCTCTGCCCTGAAAATTAAAGAAAAATAATAAATAAAAAGATTAAAGTCTGCATTCTTAATTTATTTCTGTCACTGAGCAATTTATTTCTAATGATTTATTTCTTTAGATTACACGATATTAAATTACATATTGATGTGTTTAAAACAGCTCCCAAATATTATAGTATCATCTACTATCACTATAATTTTCTTTGTAATCCATGCAACTTTCTTTTCTACTTTGATATTCCATGGGCCGTTTTCTTTTAAGCTGAAGATTTGTGACAGCAATTTTTTTTTTTTTTTTTTTTTTTTTTTTTTTTTTTTTTTACTCTTTCCACATTAAAATTTTGTACATCATTTTGAACAACTCGGGGAGCAGAGTCCGCCTTCCTTCCCTGTGCTGCGCGCCACAGAGTGGCGTGAAAGCACAGATAAACTTCGAGCGGCGAAGTCGCTGAACACTGGTAGTTCAGTCCGAGGTTCGAATCTCGCGAACGGGCTGGCTGCATGAGCGTTTTCGTGGTTTTCCGCATGTGTAACGTGTATACGAGTCAGTTTCCATTAGAACGTTCTCCACGAAGGCATCCCTCGCCCTAGGCAGATAGCCTTATAGTTAAATAAACCAAACCATTTTGAACAACCTTGTATATTTTAAAAAGTATGATTATACTATTATAAAAGTATATTAAATAACTTTGTGCATTTTCTTCTTATATATATATATATATATATATATAAGCCACTTCTTCTTATTACATAATAGTTTTCATATCAATAAATATTATTTATAAATTTTATTGATATATATATATATATATATATATATATATATATTTTAAACTGTCGTTGGTATCTTGATTACGCCGAGGAATTGCCCAT